GCAGAACGTCCGCGCTCCCTCTGAAATCACGCAGAACGTCGCTGCAGAACGTCCGCGCTCCCTCTGAAATCACGCAGAACGTCCGCGCTCCACAATCTGCAACAGAGACGTTAGTCTCCGCGAGGAAGCTGAGCGCCCTCCTACCTTTAGTCCTCCAAACTGTACCCGGGGGGTTTCGGTCTGGTTCGGACCTGGTTCGTGCCCTGGTCTGCCGCCAGGGAAAGTTGCCGTTCAAAGCCGTCTGTCTTCAGCACCTCTTAAGACGGTGCACCTTTAACAAGGCATAAAAAAAACACAACAGGCGTGTTGAATCCCCCGCTCGTCGCCCGAATAACGCGGGCGACACGACGCAATAAACGTGAAACTTATGTGTTGTCATGTGAGAGGAATCAAAATCACCGTCTTCTGTAATCTTAAAATTGTCGTGTATTGTGTGAATAAAATACCATACTATGCCAAAACGAGCCCCATTTTAAACACTTTTGCCTCACATTGCTGTTAAAGAGCACCGCCCAACTATTACGCCTGTTTTGGTCAAGGTAAGAGAAGTTACTCACTAAATACGGTTTTTTGACAAAAAAAAATAATGCTGTCTCTTTAATTCCTCTAAGTGTGTATCTTTTTTTCTTTCAATTTAGCTGCCAGTCGTCATACTAACATATACAGTTCCATCAGGTTTAAGGTTTAAGAACTGACAATGGTTTACTATTTAAACACAGTAGCTATGACTATACGTTATCGTGAATTATAATTATTCACTCACTTATCTATGGATGTTACAGGGTTTGCATCTTTGTCAGCACGTTTGAGGGAAGAATAAAATGAACATCCTGGTAAAATTCGCGTAATATACCCTTGAACTTCCTCGACAGGATTCTGCCGCGAACTCGAGCCTGCCGTGTGACGGAAAAAAAGAGATCACATGGTCGGAATGTTGCGATCTGAGTGGTTGTTGGCAATGTCCGTCTCAAAGCTTATGATTTCATTGGACAATTTCTCCGAAACAACCCGCCCACTCTTATTGTGTTGGCGCGAAGGTGTGATTTGTTTTTCAGATGAATTGATTGTGAAGCTATTTTAAACTGTGTGCGCTTGTACCAAGAGGTTCCAAGTTCTTTATCTTAACGTCCAGTAACCTTGTACTCCGCGCTTGCATAACACGACTTGATTGCGTTTAAATCGCCGAAAACTCTCTGAAAGAGCACAGATGCCAGATTTTTAAAACTGTGGATATAAAACCTTCTTCCTGTCTTTACACTGCTATCGTGTCTATCAGACAACGGCCGGTCTTGGGACCCCGGAGTTGCTTGACGAGAATGTGTCAGGTAAATATGGCGAGGTGTGCTACGATAACCACAACAGGTCGCAGTATCTTACGCTCACAGGCAAAACTGAGTGAAATACTCAAATGTCTGACCGCATGAGACAGAGAACGCCCTGTTTTGTATTTTCCTGGGTTGTTTTTCGCCCCCGTGGAAATAATTCACCCTGATTCCTTATGGTAGGTCTATGCAAACTCAGGAACAAGTAACACGCCTTTTTCAGGGCAGCAAGAAGCGCGACTTGCTCCTGCGCTACACGATGTGAATTCCTGTAGTAAAAAAACGCGAGTTATGTGGCTGAAGACGTATTTGCATGAGGTGATATTTATTCAATACCTCATAAAGCTACCGCTCAGGGAGATTCTGCTGTCAATGCGAGAATATCGTTGTGTGGGTTTGCCCGTGCTACCGCAGGTCAGGAGCCGGCGTCGATATTGCTGTACCTCCTTTCTGTATGCTTGTGGTGCTTTACGGAGGTGTTTCAGTAATGTCAAATGCAGACGTCCAGATGTGATCTTGTTGGGTCTACATCTCCCCCTTTGTAAGACTCTTGCCTCAATGCGCTTTACCCACATTTAAAACGGGCTAAAATAACGTTTTCCCATCTCGTTTGTCGTTAAAAAGAATTATGTTAACAACCTGCCGAGATGTTAAAACGCGGATTTTATTTCAATTTCTTATTGAAGGTTTTTTAACCTTAAAGCGGAAAGCGTGCTGTTGCAAGAATGGGATATTTACTAGTCCACCAGCCCCACGGTTACACAAAAAGTAAACCGTTATTTTCTCCCACGTTTGATTCCAGGCTCAAACTCTCCAAAGAAGGAATGCAGCTTTTACAACCCCGTGACATCTTGTTCTTATAAATCTGCATAAAGAAGGATGTTGGAAAGAAACAACAGATGTTGGTGAACATCTGGGACAACAGGTAAATAATGCATTTTTAATTCTGCATGTTATATGGAAGCATCAGTGTTGCCTCTGTAAGGTAGAGAAGGCATGGCCAAAGTTCTTAAGAGAATACTTGGTGGCTGGTTGTTTTTAAATGGGTCCATTTAATTATTTTATGCTGTTCGATCATCGATGTTAAAAAGCACGTGCCCTTCAACCCACAGCTCAGTTAGTGCAAAACTGTTCGGCATTTCTCAAAAGCTAAATACATATACAGAAATAAATAGCAATGTAAACCCGGTGTTGGGGAAAAAGTGCATTGAAGAGATCAGATGTCGAGATTGTACAGTGCCTGGCCTGCTACATGGCACATCAGTCTTTGTAGATCTGCACTCCATTCTGTGCTGCTGAGTGGCACTGCAGCGAGTGACAGCTCTGCGCCGAACACAGCACACATCCGATTCTTCCGATCGGGAGACAGACCCCGACAGCCTGACGGAGGGCTGTCGGAGATCAGGTAACTCGTTTGCTAACTAACCTGCGCAACTTTGAATGTCTGAAGCACGTATCCCCCACTTTGGAACAAGTACAGGTTTATTCCATGCCGGGAAGAGAAGAAAGGAAGGAACGTTTCAGCTGTGGAGCCTTCTTCGGGTGGCGAAAGAAGAAGAAGACCCCACAGCCGAAAACGTTGTTTCCTTTCTTCTCTTTCCAGCATGGAATAAACCTGTACTTGTTCCTTTGCAGCCTACGCATTGCTGACGCAGCTGTCTTCTTAAGCACGTTCCTCATTGTTGTGCGTCTTCGTTTTGACCATCTGCATCGTGCAACTGCGGAACATTGCAGCGTGCGGATCTCGTGTTTTTTTTTAAAAAGAAGAAACTAAGCAATCATGATTAAAGCAAAACACGAGAAGAACAGAAAATAGAAAAAAAAATAAGGGACAGGACGTTTCAGGAGAAAATCGCTCAGGGCACTACATGGAGTCCAGCGCAAGGGCAATAGCTAATTTTCTCCTGGGACTAAGACCACATTAAAAGTAGAAAACTGCTTAGAAAAGGGCTTGCATGCAGGTTGGTACAGTTAAATCATTTTTCTAGGCAGCTTATACTAAAAAAAAAAAAAACTCTTTTAAAAATGAAATTTTTGCCCTTGTATTCACTGACTTGACACAAAGCTTCATTGCTTCAGTTTTGGGTTGACATTCCTGAAAAATAACCATCTAGCAGAGACATTACAAAACATCATAAAAGAGCACTAAATAGCGGTGGTGTCAGATATTTGGAGCGATTAAAAACAAACCTTTTCCAATTACTGTGCATGCACTAAATTATTCTCTTTTATTGAGCATCTATTTAATTACTATTGAGACTGCTGACCGGCTGAATATAGATCAGGGATTTTGTTCTGTCATGGATACAGTAGCTGAGGTGCTGCAGTAGAAGCTGGTGAGAAGCAAACCGATCTGGTTATCTGATCAGATCTGATGAATTTAGAATCCACCGTCTTTTCTGCTTGAGGGCATGAAAAGATGTTGTTGTTTTTTTTCCCAAACAGGTAACTTCGTTGTCTGCAGAAGCTGGGATTGGCTCACCGGCAGTTGAACTGACAGCGGGAGAGCACCGAAGGCAAGTGTTTTGACAGATGTCTTGCTGTAGTGGCGCAGGGTTGTTTTTTTTTCTGTGCCCTTTCAGAGTCCACAGTTTCAGACCATCAGATCATGTCCTCCTCCTAAAAAGGAAAAAAAAAGTCTGTAACCTTCAGTGCACGAATGCAATATTTAGACAAGATTCTTTCACAGCTGCTGCAGGCCTGGAGAAAGAAGACAAACCCTGTTTTAGACTCTCTGCACATATCCTGCATCGAAAGTAACAAAGATCACTAGGTCATATCCTGGAACTGGCTGTCTGGCATGTCCCTGAGTGATCTCTCCGCCCATGGTGGGCAAGCAGACAACACTCACCGCTGCCCAGAGCTGTGTGCAAACAGAGAAGGAGATTTGTTCAGCGGAAAATGTTTTTTTTTTTGTGAGGATGGCCTGAATGTAAGCAGCTTTTATTTGCAAATGTATCGGTTACTTTTAGCCAGCTCTAATCCCCAAGGATTATGGGACTCGCTGGATCAATGAAAGCTTTATATGGGTCGTCCTGCGTTATCCCCTGACAGGATCCAGTGCAGTATTTGTCTGGAAAGGGGTTGATTAATGGCTATAAGTGCAGACCTGCCCTCAGATGGAAGATCCTCATCTGTACACGTCTTTGGGAAAAAAATAATGACAAGCTGCAGCAGCCTATATCGCACTGTGCTCTTACTGCCGGAAATGCACAGCTCACCCTTGACCTAGAACTTATTTGTAGTAATCACAGAAAGCACTGCAGCTAAACTAAAGCCTAAAGTCCCTGGAAGTACAGCATTAATGATTGCAAGTTACACATTTTAACTGGGTCACCTTGGCAAAATGACATTTTATTAACTCTAGTAATATTAGTGGTTGTTCTGCTTTAATCAAAACACTCTTTTTAATCCAATTTGGATTTTCTTCTTGAAAAACGTTAGGCAAAACAGGTCGTCTGGTTTTACTTTTTCATTCCAATCCCCAGACTTCTGCGGCCAGAGAGGAAGATGCACCTACAAAACGCAGTACCGAGTGCAATGAGTTCTTCTCTCTTAAAGCGTGTTAACGAATGACCCTGCTTGCTCTGTCGCCAGAGTTTGAGTTAGACATTTTTAATGGATTTCTGGCTTCATCATGCTGTGTTGTGTGCAACATACCTTCCAAGAATAACAGGCCACTTCGAATCTGCATCTCGAATAATTTTCTTAATAAAAAACTATTCTAATCAAAAGTAAGATATGTATTGGGCGACATGGTGGCGCAGTCGTTAGCATTGCTGCCTCGCAGGCTGTGGGTTTGAATTCCCGGGGTACTGTCTGTGTGGAGTTTGTATGCTTTCCTCGGGGTGCTCAAGTTTCCTCCCGCAGTCCCAGTACTTAATGGTAGGTGAATTTGCGTCTGGGCTTTGCGTGTGTGTGTGCGTGTGTGCATGCGTGCGCGTGTCTGTTTGTGTGGCTGGCCTGTGATGGGCTGCTGTCCCGTCCAGGGTGTATTCGCCTTGAGCCCATCGATTGCCAGGGTAAGCTCAGGCTCCTCCAGGACCCTGAATTGGATAAAGTGGGTAGAAAATGGATGGATATGGTATTTAGCAACTGGTTTTAACAGCTATGAACATTTTACTTTCCTCATGCCCACCTATAAGGCTCCACGTGTCTTGCCACTTCAGTACGTGTCTGAGTTACTCCCAGTCTCGCAACCTTCGTTTGTATAAGTCTGGTCGCCTTGCCTGTCCCCGAAGCCTGTCTGCACTCTGTGGGTGACAGGGCCTTCTTCTGCTGCGCCCCCGAGCCCTGGAACTCTATCCCTATAGATATCAGAGAGCTGCCTTCAAGTCCAGACCAAAAGCCTTCTTCTTTAGAAGAGCGTTTATTAAACTAACTTTGTGTCTGCCCCTTTGCTTTCCAACTGTTTTTCAAGCCCTATATAGATAATGTGTGATTCTGCTGTCTCCTCTCATTGTGTATTCCTGTAAAGTGCCTTGAGAAGCCACTTTTAAAGGTGCTATATAAAATACAGTTTATTCTTATTATATCTTTATTTCTGGTTACTGTACAATTAGATGTTGTGTTGTGCTTAGCAGATCCCTTCCATTGGTTTGACTGAGTAAAGTTAATCTAACAATTCTCACTGTGTAGAGAGAGAAAGGTTGAGTTAAGTGTTGATCTAGGCTCGGTTTAAGAAATGTCGTGTCCTCTGGTCAACTAACACCACTGTCCTGGTTCAGGCTAGAAGGTGGGACCACTGCAGTTAAATGTACTGACCAGCATCGAAATTCACGCTGAATAAATATGTTCTTACTAATGGAAACTTTTAAAGATTGGCTCTCATTAATATATATATATATGTTCTTATTACAAAATCCACAAAGCTTAAGCAGTTTGCAGAATCGAATTCCACTGTGTATCCTGAAAAGGAAGAAGCAACTTCTTACTCAAACAGATGATTTTTTGCTGGAGAAGTAAAAATACAGTTCTCCACTGAGTGACACTTCAATTAGCCTGGTGCCCTCCCCAGTGCTAATAATCAGATTGTGGGAGATGAGGGGATGACTTAGGTCATTAAAACATCTTCAAAATCCATAAGATTTACTGAAGTCCTGGGATTTAAAATCTCTCCAGTGACAGACTACCTGGAGGAGCTCTGCTCTACCCTTAAAATAACAATCTTGTCGTCAGTGCAGAAGAAAACTGATTCTTCGATATAAAGAAGCCTTTATGCTTCTGTCCTTCTATTCCGGTCTTGCCTGGATTGGAAGGTTCATTCTTTCATGTGACAGTCTCTTCTTTCTTATACGACACATTCGTCTGCTTTTAACAAACTTTCAGTCGTATGTTGCCACTCGGCTGCCCTTGTTTGGAGTTCAAGCATTTGAGTCACATTTTTGTACGTCTTTGACATCCTTAGTTTCTTCTTCCAGTTCAAAGCGATTGTGGACTGGTGCAGAGATGCTGCATACTCCGTCAGTCTTATCCTTGTTTTGCAATTGTAGGTATTTTCTTTCTGAGCAGCAGGGAGAGCTCTCTAACCCAAGCTTCCTACATCATCAGTGTACACCTACATGTGTGAAAAGTCCAGGACCTGTGCTCTTCCTGGGTCTGCGTCATTGCGTTCTATACCAAAGCCTCGTTTTCTTTCTATGTACTTCTTACTGTATCAGACACAATGGCTTTCCTGTTGTTCTGCTACCTGTGAACAGGTGGAGTGCTGCGTTGAGGGCAGTTTGGGTACTGTGTTTCAGTTAATAGAACGCTTAAATAGTTAATATTTTCGATACACTATACCATGAAAGCCATGCGCCTTGAATCAATCAATCTTGGTAACAAGGTGTTGAAATCTAGCTCTGGCTTGAGTGTGTTTTAAACAGACACCTGCTGTCATACTGTACGTCACATATCAGGAATAGCTGAAAGGCGGAATACCATCATCAGGAATAGTCACTAGGTCATAGGCGGAATGGTCACTTCCGAACCCCCATCAGTAGTGATAAGAGAAGGTGACCATGGCTGGATTCTGACTATAAAACTCTGTGTAACAGTGATCTAACTGTGGACAAGGTTGGGAATAAAGCTAGTCTTCATAGATTAAACTCATCTCAAACCTCCACCGGACTGCGCAGTGACTCCTTGCATCGCTACAGAGGGGATGATTTCTGTGGACGATGACCATAGAGGTCAATGAACAACTTCTCATACCCTCTCATTCATGTACTTGTGGGATATTCTATATGTACTGTACTTCCACGGAGTCACACGAGGGTTGTAAGTAGTTCAGTGTTAAGGAGTGCGTCCCCTTGCGTGGCGGGATCAGTACGACTATAGGTTTCCCGGTGGGGGTGGAAGAGATGTGATTTTAATATTAATGAATTAATATTAAAATTAAAGTTTTTACCAGCTAAATAGGTGTAAGGATTATTATGTAGGTCATTTTGGGCTTCAGTGGTGGAAACACTGAACTGCAGTGTTGTCTGACGTTTTCTCTTGTTTATGGTCTCATCTGTAAGTGCAAAGGAACAGGGAAAGGTTTATTCCACACTGAAAAGAAAAGAGACACAACGTTTCAGCTGAGGAGGCTTCTCAGGTGCGAGATTGTTTAGGTATGACATTTATTTCAGCAAGGGATAAACTTCCACCTGTTCCTTTGCAGCCTGAGCATGCTGACGCAGCTCCCTACTTGAACTTCATCTGTACCCAAAGGCGTCTTCCCACAGTGAGGCAGTGCAAATTTCAAAATAGGTTTCTTCACAACAGGCCGGCAATCTTCATAAGCATCCCTGCTAAGATTATACTGCCAGTCCTGTTAATACTTTAATAATGTCACGCTTCCTAAATGTATTGCAACTAAGCCGTCCTACCTCCTGATATTATTTCAGTTCATTGGGCTGCCAGTATTAGTCTAATGCACCTTAGCGTGACACTTCACAGAGGAATGCCTGGCGAAAACACTGATTATTTATAACTGTTAACCTGTCCCACGAGACAGATAATGAAGCTGTCAAAACATGTCCGTCACAGCTAAGACATTCCCAGTGAAGTCAGAAAAGATGAATCTCAAACATGAGGTAACAGACGCGCTGGTGGTTTTGTTTGCGTTTTTGCCTGGTTGACCTCTTTTAGCGGTCCTCTCCAGCAGTGCAGCAATGGTTAAACTCTTAATGCTTCTCCCCTGCCTCGCAGGCGCTTCTTAATTTTGAGGGAATCTCTCAAAGTTTGTGGCCCATTACATTTTGCTGGAAGTTCTGCAGCACTATAATAATTGGAAAAAAAGGGGGCTGATTTACATTTAAATTGAAAATCAGCGTCTTCCTAATAATAATGTGCTATAATCCACCTTGAACTATCATTTGAGGAGGTTAAATTGTAGAATGTTACATGCGTCGGTCTGAAAAACTCTTTTCTTTCCCCGCCTCGTGAGACCCCAACCATTGAACCTGGATTTATGACCGTTCCCTACATCTGTGGGGCGACGAGACGCGGAGAGAGGGGGGAGGGACATGTGCAGAGGACCTCAGCTTTCAGACGGGTTTTTCTCTTCCTCGGCGGCCTCGGAGTAGGCGAATGAAGAGCAACTGAGGAGCTCCAGGTGTCTGCTGTGCAGGAGGCGTCCAGGGGAAGGAGGTGCTCATCGCACATTTCCCAGCTCAGCTCAGGTTTACCTAAGAGGGGCGCAGAGCTCCTCGTCCCAGCTTGCCCCGTTCACTCTCTCGGTTCAGACTGGGAAATGCAGGGACGTCCCAGATTCCCAGCCACGTTCTCATTTTCTCTCTCTCGATGCGTTTCAGTTTTATTTTTGCAGTGTAAATACTGTGTGTGTTGGATACATAGCTGGTTGTCAGGAATTGTTAT